AAGAGGGAGGAGGAGACAGGTCACGGCGTGAGTGGAGCCGTATACATGCGTCTCGGCAATTGCCGCCGCACAAGCTGTCGCGCTGTGCAGATCTTCGTTCGGCTAAGAACTGCTCGCAGCATGCTGCGCTGCCGACGGACTGCAGGCACACCTCTTCGCGCTGCGCGAGACGGTGCACGGACCCGCCTCTGCCGCGGGAAGCAGGAGGCAGAGGGGGGAAAAAGGTCACGCGATCCCTGCAGCTCTCGCCATCGACGTCACGTCCTTCTTCAGCGCCCCGCTCTTGGATCCAGTGCGCCCACCTTCTGGGAACAGCATGGCCTGTCACCTGCGGCGGTTGGCTGGCCAACTCCGCACCAAGCAAATCGATGACCTGCTCTGGTTCAACACTCGGGACATGCGGGCCGACCCCATGACCGACGGCAGGATTGGCCAGGAGTTCAGCCTGAGCGCGATAAACGGCCAGATCAGCTATGATTTTGAGATGGTCAAGTTTAGCGACTAGAAGCGGGCGCAGGCCGCCCCGAGCTCCCAACGCAGCTCTCCCACCCAATACCGAAAAGGCAACCCTTGTGACTGCATTACAAAGTCGACCTCCGCATCATGAAGTTGCGGGCATTGATGGCGAGAGCAATGAGGAAGTCAAGCAATCAGGTGAGTGCTGCTCGTGTGGACTGTGTCAGTTGAGCAGCCGCATGCACCTGCCTGCGCTCCACTACTAATGTCGCCCTCGCAGCGGCCGGCAATTTGTTTGGTGAAGGGGCGGTTAATAGAACCCTCTCAGCAGCGCGTGTGGCAAATGTTTATGAGAGGGCGGTTAGCAGAGCCTTTCTTTACAGCTGTCCTGCAGTGGGGCGCGGCCAGCAGAGCACCCCAGCTGAATCTCATTACATGGGTTCCTGTGCGGTTTGTGGTTGGGGACCAACGAGGGCACGACGGACCGGCTTGAGCACCAGACTCGAACGGCACCTGCTCTGCCCAGTTCAACATTTCCTTGCCTGGGCCCGCCGCTGTTTTGGCTCAAGGCCTACTCAGTGCACCGTGCCCACCTTAATCGCGCGCTACACCCGCCTTACTGCCGAACACGGAAAACGTCTCCCTTTTATTCATCATTTCTTACATCCATGTCTCTAGCCTCCTCCTCCGCCTCCTCCTCATCATCTTGCTCCTCCTCCTCCTCCTCCTCCTCCTCCTCCTCCTCCTCCTCCTCCTCCTCCTCCTCCTCCTCCTCCTCCTCCTCCTCCTCCTCTTCCTCCTCCTCCCCCCCCTCCCTCTCTCTTCCATCCCTTCCCCCTCCTTCCCTCCATCCCCCCCTCCCTCCTCATCACCCATCCTCCCTCTTCCACCCCCATCTTGCGCTGCCCTCCCGGCGCCGCAGCTGCCCGTCAACAACGCCCCGTTCGCATTCCCGGACATCGGCAAGGCGCCCTAGCGCGCCCCCCTTCGGCGGATTCCGGCGGCTTCAGCGTCGCGCGCACCTCGTCTAAAAAGCTACACGCCACATCCACGCAGGGCGAGCCACCCTCAGGTTTTCTGCGCTTCTGTAAACCAGCGCCACCGCGACTACACGACCGCCGGCGCGCCTCCAAGCGCGCGGGGTCCCCACGGCACGTGCGCGAGCACCTGCACGTAGGCGGAGCTCGAGCGCGAAGGGTTTGTTGCAGCGTCGGCGGCGTGCGCCTGGCTGTTTACGGACCAGCACGCTTTCGGTGGCCGGGGAGGGGGAGGAGGAGGAGGAGGAGGAGGAGGAGGAGGAGGAGGAGGAGGAGGAGGAGGAGGAGGAAGAGAAGGACAAGGACAAGGACAAGGAAAAGGAAAAGGAAAAGGAAAAGGAAAAGGAGGAGGACAGGTGTAAGCCCAAAACGCATCAACGATGTTGCAACAAACCCTCCTTCGAAGCTCCCTTTCCCCTGCAAGAATTGATTTTCCATTGCGGGAAATGCCCCACTGGAAGGCAACCGCCTGAGAATCCACAATCTGGGGAGGAGCAGGAGGGAGGAGGAGGAAACGGAAGGAACACGGAGGAGGGGGAGGAAGAAAAGGAAAATGTGAGAGAGGAGCAGAAGGAGGAGGAGGAGGAGGAGGAGGAGGAGCAGGAGCAGGAGCAGGAGCAGGAGGAGGGGAGAAGAGGAGGAGCAGGAGGAGAAGGCACGCGCAATCCGATGCACTCTGTGTCCAGTCATGGCTGGAACCTTTCTGCCTCCTGTTTGAGCTCCTCCTGTTGAGAGGGGGTATTCCTGCTCTTCCATCTCGGTCCTCGACGATCTAGATTTTGGAGGGTCTGTGAGAGGGTCTGTCAATCCTCATCGGAATCCTCTTTCTCTCTTCCTGCTTCCTCCTCCGTCTCCGATTGACGACGGCTTCCGACGCCGCCGAGGGCCTGAGCCTCCTTCCGCTCTGGGCCCCCGGGAGTGGTGGGCCTCTGCCCCAGGACCCGGGGGCTGGACGGAGCCCCCCCACACGGGCACACGAAGGGCCCCAGCACACCCCAAGAGGGCGCCGAGGCGGCCCAGGAGGCGCCCGAGATCGCCCAACAGGGCTCGAGGCGGCCCCCCAAGTGAGCCTGGACACGCCACAAGGGTCCTGAAGGATCGGGGGTGGACGGAACCCCCAGCGCCGCCCCCGGCGCGCGGAGCGCGCCAGGGGCGGCGCTGGAGACGCCGCCAGGGGGTCCCAGCGCGGATCCGAGAAATCCGCGCGGACCTCCGAGTTGTTATGTTTATGTCATTCTTCGTTCCCCTAGAATGGCCCTGGGGCCATTCCAAAATCGGGGGTGGACGGAACCCCCACCCTGACACGTCGATTAGTGAATTGTCCGTCTTCGGTTCTCGAGAGGGCGCCGCGGCCGTCATTTTCAGGCTTGCGCCCGCCAGGTTTGGGCCCGAGGTCGTCTTCATTGAGTCACGTTTTGCCAAAGGGGACTGTGTCCATCCCCGGAGAAGACGCCCCCTTCATCTTGAGTCGTTGTGTGTTGATTCCCCCACTCCTCCACTTGCATTGGTGGCACAGTTCTAGGGGAGCGAAAAATGGCATAAACATAAAACTCTGAGGTCCGTGCGGATTTCTCGGATCGGCGCTGGGGCCCCCTGGCGGCGCCTCCAGCGCCGCCTCTGGCGCGCTCCGCGCGCCAGGGAGGAGGGTCCAGCGCGGATCCTAGCAATCCGCGCAGACCTCCGAGTTGTAGTGTTTATTTCATTTTTCGTTCCCCTAAATTTGATGCTAAGTCGGGCTCGTCCCTCTACAGGAGGAGCATTCAAAAATATTCAAAATAGTCTGGGGACGATCTTTTGAAATTATATTTGAGCATGTTTGGCAAGCTTCGTTTTTCTTCCAAGATCCACCTGTAGGGGGACACGCCCGACCTAACAGTGGTGGCACAATTCGCTCCCACGGCACCCCCGTTTCAGCCTCTCGTCGCCAGCACAGTCGCCCTCTGCATGGCCGCCGGCGCCACAATTGTGCATGACGGCCCCATGGCGCGGCGAGCTCCTCCAGAGAGGCCGAAGAAGCTGCGAGAGCCGCCGCCTTCGGCTTCTCGAGACGTTTGGGGGCGTGGGAGGGCCCGTGCTAAGTCGGGCAGGTCCCTCCACAGGAGGAATATTTTCAAAAATAGTTTTGAAAAATAGTCTGGGGATGATTTTTGTTAGTTTTTCCCAACCATCCCTGTAATGTTGGGTCCTCGTTTTGAAGAGACAGTGCTCCGCGAGAGAGGCCCCAGTGGGAAAGTTCGCATGGCGGCCTCGGGCCAGGTCGACGCACCCCTCACGAGGATCGTGGCCCCATGGGGAGCGCCATCGAACATGATAGTCACGACTGCGGTACTCACAGCTGCATATGGTTGGGTCCTTCACCAGGCTAATTGAATATATTTGGGGCCAGTTCTTGACTTTTTTATCTTTCTTCCAAAATCCGCCTGTAGGAGGACATGCCCGACCTAAAGGTGGCCCGAGGCGGGCTGGCCGACCGAGGCGGGCCGGTCGACCCTGCGGTTCGACCTTGGAAACAAGAATGCGACATCGCCAAAATCACGACCAGAGCCCTACAGTCGACCCGCGTTGTGAGGATGGGCGACCTTCCCAATGGTACCCTTGCATCCTTGCCTCCTCGGCCCATCCTTGGCCACTTTCGTCGGCCGCACCCCGCTCGAGAAGCGTCGAAGTGGGCGTCCAAGGCCCTTGCATCCTTATCGCGCATCCTTGTGATACGGGCCGATTATATAGACCCAATATTTCTGCTACATGTTCCGATCTGGATCAGTCTTTGATGGTCCCCGGGCCCGAAGCTGGCCGAAGACGCCCGGCGTGGGAAAAATGCAACGCCAGAGTCTCAGGTGAAGAGCTGCAGCATCGGTATCGTTTCCTCCTCCGAGCGCACGTGTGCGTGCAGCGGCCTGCTGGGCGGCCTTCAAGGCGTCGCCGGCGACGCCCCACTTGGAGCCCTTCGGGCGCTCCTCCTCCTCCTCCTCCTCCTCCTCCTCCTCCTCCTCCTCCTCCTCCTCCTCCTCCTCCTCCTCCTCCTCCTCCTCCTCCTCCTCCTCCGCGCGCAGCAGAGCCACAGGAAAGCGTGGCACAGACAGCGCAGCTCCGCACATGCGTCGAATGCTCCCGCGAGCAAGAGCAGCGCAGAGCCCCAGGGGCAGCTGCCACGGTGTATCTCCGTGCGGCACCCTCGCCTCGGAGGTGCGCGCCCAGGAGGGGGGGGGGCGCACACACAATTGGCATGTCCATGTGCGCCCCCAAGGGAGGAGGAGGAGGAGGGGGAGGAGGAGGAGGAGGAGGAGGAGGAGGACGACGACGACGACGACGACGAGCAGGAGACGGAGGATGAGGAGAAGTAGGACTAGGAGGAGGACGAGAAGTATCACGTGGAGAAGGAGGAGGACAAGGAGGAGGACAAGGAGGAGGAGGAGGAGGAGGAGGAGGAGGAGGAGGAGGCGTGGCTCAGCACTGTCTTCTCGCCCAGGGACACAGGCGGGCCGTTGCGGCCAGCCGGCGTCCCGAAAGGCCGTCTCGGCCACCAGCACGGCCGCCCCTTGCCTGCGCGCCCCGGGGGATGCGCCGGGTGGCCGCCCAGCCGGGGGCTGCCGGGCGGGCGCCAGCCCGCAGGGCGCGGTAGGGCGCATGGCGGGCCCTGGTGGCCAGGCGCCGCGCACCGTCGCCGACAGCGGCGACGACTATATGGTCGTGGTCGTCGTCGTGGTCGTCATCGTCGTCGTGTTCGTGGTCGTCGTCGTCGTCGTCGCCGTCGTGGTTGTCGTCGTCGTCGTCGGTCGTGGTCGTCGGCGTCGGCGTCGGCGTCGTCGTCGTCGTCGTCATCGTCGTCGTCGGCATCAGCGTCGTCGTCGGCGTCGGCGTCGTCGTCGTCGTCGGCGTCGTCGTGGTTGTCGACGTCGTTGTCGGCGTCATCGTCTTCGCCGTCGTCGTCGTCGTCGGCGGCGTCGGCGTCGGCGTCGTCGTCGTCGTCGTGGTTGTCGTCGTCGTCGGCGTCGGCGCCGTTGTTGGCGTCGCCGTCGTCGTCGTCGTCGTCGTCGCCAGCGTCGGCGTCGGCGTCGGCGTCGGCGTCGGCGTCGGCGTCGTCGTCGGCGTCGTCGTCGTCGGCGTCGGCATCGGCGTCGGCGCGGCGTCGGCCGCCGCCGCCCCCGCCGCCGCCGCCGCGCCCCCTGCCTTGGGTGGCCGAGGCGGCCCCAGGGGTGCGCGCCCCCACCGCCTGTCCAGAGCAGCGGGAGGTGGTCGGAAGGGAGTGGAGCGGAGGAGGAGGAGGAGGACGAGGAGCAGGAGGAGGAGGGATCGAGGAGGGATCGAGGAGGGATCGAGGAGGAGGAGGAGGAGGAGGAGGGGCACCCTGCTCCGCCTGCTTCGGGTCCTCGTACTCCTCCCGCTCCTTCTGCCCCTCCCGTTGCCGCTGCTCTCCTTCCTCATCTTTCTCCTCTTCTTCCACATGCTGTGGAGTTTCACCATCCTCTCCTTCCTCATCGTCCTCTCCTTCCTCATCGCCCTCATTCCTCTTCCACATCCTCTCCGTCCTCATCGTCCTCCTTCCTCATCGTTCGCTCGAGTTTCACGCTATGTGGTCTTGATGGCAGACGAGACATTTGGCCCGATATCGCTTCGCCGCCGCCGCTCATAATCTTGCCCATCCGCCACCTTCTCAGCCTTCTCCTCCTCCTTATCCTGCTCCTCCTCCTCCTCCTCCTTCTTCTCCTCCTCCTCCTCCCTCAGCACCGTGAACGAGCCCCTCTTCTGGTTGCACACCTCTCGATGGGGGTGCCGAAGAGATCTGGATCCTCCAAAACACCCCATTCCGGCGCACAGACAGATTCAGCGCAATGGGGGGGTGGGAGAGGCAAGACGTCAGATTGGCGCGAGCGCGCTTAGCTTGCGTCTCTCTCTCTCTCTCTATTTTCTCTCTCTCTCTCTCTCTCTCTCTCTCTCTCTCTCTCTCTCTCTCTCTCTCTCTCTCTCTCTCTCTCTCTCTCTCTCTCTGTCTCTCTCTCTCTCAATCTCTCTTTATATCTCTCTCTTTCTTTTTCTCTCTCTCTCTCTCTCTCTCTCTCTCTCTCTCTCTCGCTCTCTCTCTCTCTCTCTCTCTCTCTCTCGTTCCCTCTCTTTCTCTTTCTCCTCTCCCCAGGCCAGCACCTAAGACGCTCGGCGCGAGTGTTGCCGAGACTCAGATTCTCCCCTCGGCATCCGCTGTCGCAGGAACCTTACACCCTGGCATCGTGGATATCAGGGCGGAAATATCGTGCGACAGCGACGGCTGATGATGATGATGATGATGATGATGATGATGATGTTGGTGATGATGTTGTTGATGATGATGATTATGCTGATGATGCTGATGGTGATGATGATGATTATGATGATGATGATGATGATGATGATGATGATGATGATGATGATGATGATGATGGGGATGGGGATGGGGATGGGGATGGCGATGATTATAACGAGTGTGATGGTGATGATGAGCATACTGATGATGATGATGCGAATGAGGATGATCATGATGATGGTTGTGATGTTGACGGCGAGTATGGTGATGCTGGTTGTTGTTATGTCTGTGGTTGTGATGACGACGACGACGACGACGACGACGATGACGACGACGACGACGACGACGACGGTGCTGATGATGATGATGATGGTCATCATCGTGCTCATGCTAATTGTCATCATAAGCAGCAATATGGTAAGTATCATTATTACCAGCACCGCCATCATCAGCAGCATCAGCATCAGCATCATCAGCATCGTCAGCATCATCACGATCATCAGCATCATCATCATCATCATCATCAGCAGCATCATCATCATCATCATCATCATCCTGGGCACGCTGTCCTCCGGGCTCCTCATCCTGGGAACTCTTCCCCCTCTCAAGTTCAATCCCAGTGTTGGCTCCTCGTCCTGCTCCTCCTTCCTGACGGGTTCGTTGGCTCCTCCCCTTCCTCCTTTGTCGCGCTGGGCAGATTACATTCAGGCTGCTTGGCTGGAGCGCTCGTGCGTGAAGAGAAGAAGCAAGAGGCCAGCGTAGGCGAAGCGAAGAACCAAGTAGGCCGCGGACAGGTGCGGGCAAAGTAATGCAAAGAGAAGCTGCAAAGAATAGTGGCCCAGCAGGGCATGGATTAACATATCCCGCGGCAGTGCAAATTAGGGAGGAGGTTACAGCGATACAAGATACATAATGCCTAGAGGAGCACGCCGAAAGAGTAGGAGTCTAACTACAGTTGCAGGCGGCATCGCAGGTCCTCTTCCTCCTTCTCCTCCTCATCCTCCTGCTCCTCATCCTCCTCCTGCTCCTCCTCTGCCTCCTCCTCCTCCTCCTCCTCCTCCTCCTCCTCCTCCTCTGCCGTCCTTCTCTTGAACGGCATGCATAAGGTGGACCTCGGAGCGCTGCATCCGTGCTGCTTCGCAGGGCGAGCCCTGGCCCCTGCGGACGCGAGGTGAGCCGCCACTGTCGCCCGTGCCTGTGCCTTCGAACGTGTGCATCAGTCTGAGAGGTGGCACCGCTGTCGGCCGAGTGTCAGTATTTTCGTTCCACCCCGTGCCCCTCCTTTCCAAACCTCCTCCTGCTCCTCCTTCTCCCTGTGTATGGAACCCGTGTAATACCCTCATATATACTCCTTATCCTTACCTCTCCCGCACCTGGCCGTTTGGGCTCAGGTACTGAGTTGGAGCGATCGTACCTTGATCGCTTGGGAGGGAAAGATCTCCATCTATCCCTCCATCTCTCTACCAACGGATCAGGGGTTCTGTACTCTTGTACTTCAACCCCATACACAGGTTATCAGCCCTTTAACGCTCACCTTCACCGACTCGCCCGCGGTGACCTTGCATGCGAGCCCAATGGAGCCGCTTCGGCGCATGCGCCGTAAGGGTTCCATTGGGGCTTCGCGTCCAAGCTCTCCCACGGTGCGACGGCTCGGTGACGAGTTGGAGAGCATTAATGCGGACTGTGTTGGTGTCCCCGATACCCCCCCCCCAGCTCCCGAGGACCCGAGGCGCGTCTAGCTGCTGAACTTCGCCGCAGCGCCGCCCGCGGGGGGACAGGAGAAGGAGTAGGAACAGGAAGGAAGGAGTTTCACACGCCGACCTTTGATCCTCCCTCCCCTTCCCCGTCGGGAGCAATCCCAACCGCGTCAGGCGAAAGCCTTACCGGTCTCGATACTCCAGGGCGCTTCCGCGCTAACCGCCGATGGACCTCAGGTGCTGGAACCCCCAGCCCTGCGACCGTCCCTGTGGCGGAGCACGTAGCTACCTTCGAGGAACTCAGTAGACCAGTGTCGGCACAGCCGCAGACGCGGTACCCCAAGGTATCATCGGATGAGACATCACACACACATGGTCCGAGTCGCAGCTCGTCCGCGCGCAACCGCCGTGGAGCCCCAGGCCCATACGGCGAGCGCAGGTCGAGCCCGCGCATTGCCTCTCAGAGGCCATGCACTCCCCGCGACAGGGGACACAGGGAAGTTGACGCTCCCCACCTCTCCATCTCAGACGACCAGCTGGCGGAGACGTCCGCCGCAAGTGACATAGCTGAGCTCAGAGACCAGGTTGAAACCTTCGTGTCCAGCCAATACTCTGGACTACTACAGAGCGTTCAGACGAACGCCACCGATACTGCAGCCATACGCCGCGATCTTGACGGCGCCTTAGGGATCATCGATTCCAGGATCGCCGAAGATAGACGCATCATAGGAGAACTGCAGTACCAGGTTGATCGTGAGGTGTCACACTCAGGTGAACGAACGGCGATGGTCGAGAACCTGCGCAACTATCTCGCGCAGATGGAGCAACAACTTGTGATCGTACGCGACACAGGCATTTCTGCGGTCAGGATTTTACACGATGAGATCCACGACCAGCTCCGTAACCGACCAACTCCAACCGAGGCCACAGACCTCGGCGACGTTCAGTCTCAGATCAATGATCTTCGATCTTACCTAGACCACACTACGGCGACGCTTCGTACCGAAGCACACACAAACTCGTCGAACCTGATCGACATGTTGCAGCGTACTGAGAGAGTCATCACTCAAAGGCTTGATGCGACCAACGCTGTCGTGCAGCCACTCGCTAACCGGATCTCTGACATAGAGCAGCGTTTCCCTGGTGTACAGGACGCCCTGGCAGAGTTGCGTGTCGGACGAGCCCAGACTGATCAGCTGGATTCTCCTCCCACGGTTTACGATTTCGCCCGCCTCACTGACAGGTTGCAGGAGGTTGAGAAGGCGGCGGACCACACGCAGTTAGAGCTCTCCCAGGTTATTCATGAAAGAGATACTGAGAAGGTACGTGTTGAGAGTTATCTCGCACGTCTGGAAAGCGAGGTGGAGGCACAAAGCGCCCGTCTCCGAGCACGCGAGCATCGGCTTGATCGGTATTCCCAACGGTCTCGGGATACTGATGAGTATACACGCCAAAAGGTGGGTCAAATACAAGAAGACATGACGAGCTGGACGAATCAGCTGATCGACCACACTAACGACACCAACATTCACCCTCGACCTGCAGCCGACCCGCACAGGCCGACGGCAGCGTCCGCCGAAGCACCACAAGCTTCAGCAGGACAACAACGACGTACATCTCCAGGAGCAGCCTCCGCGGCAGTTTCTGCACAGACACGCCATGTGTCTCCTGTG